GAGGAGAATGGAAGGAGGCTGCATGGCAGGAGGGTGGATGGATGGAGGCTGGAGGAGGAGGAGGAGGAGGATAAGCAAGGGGGAAGTGGACGGGGATTGGGCGGAGGTTGAGGTGTACCTCGTAGATCTTTTTGGTGGTTTTGCAATTTTTCAAAAGATATTTGACAATTCATTTTGATTTTTCGCACCTGTAAACGACTATGAGGGCCTCTCTGTCTTAGTATGAGCTCTGTAGGCGCACTTTTACTATCAAAACACTTGGAGGAACCATCTTTATGTCGACACGAAAATGCTTCCAGAAGCTCTCTCTTTCGACTCTGAACACCCTTGCGCGTGAAAGAAGCTCTACGAGGTTCCCGGCGGTGACCAGATTCACGGTTCACCGCCGGCGCCAGTAGAGCTCTTCGGCATCGATGAGCTAGAGGAATAACTCGTAGAGCTTCCCTTAGCAAGTTATTGCTGGAAGCTTGAGAGTAATACCTCGTAGAGCTCTTCGGCATCGATGAGCTAGAGGAATTCGGGCGCGGGGTGGAGCTAGTTGGCCGACCCGGCCCCGACGGACAATGCGCGAACTTTGGGTCGGTTGGACGAACTTTGTGAGAGATTTGAACATTCGTAACTCGTAGAGCTTCCCTTAGCAAGTTATTGCTGGAAGCTTACGAGTAATTCCGGAGCGCTGGAGAGCTAGTTGGCAAGGAAAATCTCGACGGACCTTTTGCTGACTTTTGGTCAATTGAAAATTTTGTTCTCAAAATTTGATCATTCGTTACAGCTCTAGTATTTTTTCCCGTGATATTCGATCTTATTCCCGCTCGCCATCTGGATCTCAGCTCGATCGGGTAACTTTGAAGGCCAAAAAGCGTCCCGGCGGGAACGACCATTTCGAGTCATCTTGATATGCGCTGTCGGTTTTGCCAAGTTAACTCGAGCTTTAGCACAACTACAGAGCTGGTCAACTTATGCATTCAGAATGATCAGGCGCGTTCGCCTGTTGAATCCAGAGGTCTGAACTCGGTCTGCTAGCCGAGCTAGGGTCGCAAACCTATTCGTATTATTCGAGTCATTGTAGCAGACGCTCTCGGTTTTTCGTACCTAACTCGATCTGTAGGGCAGCCGCAGAGCTCATAATCACAGACATCGATTGAGAATTATCAGGCGCGTTCGTCTGTTGAATCAAGAGCTCTGAACTCGGCCTGCTCCCCGAGCTAGGTTCGCGAACCCATTGGTATTGTTCGAGTCATCTTGAGAAGTGCTCTCGGTTTTCTGTACTTAAATCATGCTGGGGGAGGGCTACAGTGCTGCTGGTCACAGGAATCGATTTCGAGACATCAGGCGCGTCCGTTCGTCGAATCGAGAGCTCGGAACTCGGTCTGCTGCTCGAACGAGATCCGCGAAACTGTTGTATTATTCGAGTCATCCTGAGAGGTACTCTCGGTTTTCTGCACTTAACCTAGGCCGTATGGGGGGCTGCAGAGCTGGTAACCACAGGAATCGATCCGCAGACATCAGACGCGTCCGCCTGTCGCATTCAGAGGTCTGAACTCGGTTTCATACTCGAGCTCGATTGGAAAACTGTTCGTTTGTTTTGTTAGAGTCATCTTGAGAGATCTATAATCGCTTGGGCTGAAAAACTAGTTCTTCTCTGAAATTCTTTCCACATTGTATATTGTCAGGAAGCTCTACGAGTCCCCCGGCGGTAAGAAAGGTTGACGGTTTACCGCCGGCGCCCAGTTTTAAGAACCCGTATTTTCGCACCTGTAGTGGGTTTTGGCGCGTCTGCCAATGAATTCTGAGGTCCGTAGCTGAAGTATTACTATCGAAACACTTGGCGAAACCGTCGTTCGGTAACAACTAAAAAACATACTGTTTCGAGTTTTCAGCTCGCGTCTCAGAAAAGCTCCTACCATGTGTTCTGTGCAGCGCCGTGCGAGAAAAGAGCTCGACGAGGCTCCCGGCGGTAACCTGGTTGACGGTTTACCGCCGGTTCCAAGTTCCGGAGCGGTGGAGAGCTAGTTGGCAAGGAAAATCTCGACGGACCTTTTGGTGACTTTTGGTCAGTTGAAAATTTGGTTATCGAAATTTGACAATTCGTTAGAGCTCTAGTATTTTTTCCCGTGATATTAGATCTTATTCCCGCTCGCCATCTTGATCTCAGCTCGATCAGGTACCTTTTACTGCCAAAAAGCGTCCCGGCGGGAACGGCCGTTTCGAGTCATCTTGTTACGCGTTGTCGGTATTTCATTCTTAACTCGAGCTGTAGGGCAGCTACAGAGCTGGTAAGCACACCTATCGCATTCAGAATGATCCGGCGCGTTCGGCTGTTAAATCGAGAGGTCTGAGCTCGGTCTGCTAGCCGAGCTAGGTCCGCAAATCTATTCGTATCATTCGAGTCGTCTTGACAGACGCTCTCGGTTCTCTGTACTTAACTCGAGCTGTAGGGCAGCTACAGAGCTGGTAAGCACATATCGCATTGAGAATTATCAGGCGCGTTCGCCTGTCGAATCCAGAGGTCTGAACTCAGCCTGCTAGCCGAGCTAGGTCCGCAAACCGATTCATTTTATTCGAGTCGTCTTGGCAGGCGCTCTCGGTTTTCTGTACTTAACTCGAGCTCTAGGGCAGCTACAGGGCTCATTGTCACAGACATCGATGGGGAATCATCAGTCGCGTTCGTCCATTGAACCGAGAACTCTGATCTCGGCCTGCTGGAGCTAGGTTCGCGAACCTATTCGTATTGTCCGAATCATCTTGAGAAGTGCTCTCAATTTTCTGCACTCAACTCGTGCTGGCGGAGGGCCACAGTGCTGCGGATCACAGATATTGATTTGCACATATCAGGCGCCTCTGTTCGTCGATTCCAGAGCTCGGAACTCGGTCTGCTGCTCGAACTAGGTCCGCGAAACTATTCAATTTTTCGAGTCGATACTGTCGGTTTTCTGCACTTAACTCGGGCTCTAGGGGAGCTGCAGGGCTGGGAATGACATGTGGATTCGCAGACATCAGACGCGCCCGCCTGTCAGAGGTCTGAACTCGGTTCGATACTCGCATTGGGTTGCGAAACTGTTTCTTTTTTGGTTAGTCATCTTCAGAGGTCTGAAATCGCTTGGGCTGAAAAACTAGTCGTTCTTTTGATTTTTTTCACACTATATACTGTCAGGAAGCTCTACGAGTCCCCCGGCGGTAAGGAAGGTTGACGGTTTACCGCCGGCGCCCAGTTCCGGCGCGGGGTGGAGCTAGTTTGCCGACCCGACCAAAAGAGACAATGTGACAACTTGTCGGTGGTTTTGCAATTTTTCAAGATATTTGACAATTCATGTTTAGAAAACAGATTTTCCGCAGCTGGAAACGACAATGAGAGCTTCTCTGTCTTAGTATGAGCTCTGTAGGCGCACTTTTACTATCAAAACACTTGGCGGAACCATCTTTATGTTGACACGAAAAAAATCAAGGTTTCCCTTTTTCGAGAAATGCTTCCAGAAGCTCTCTCTTGCGACTCTGAGCACTCTTACACGTGAAAGGAGCTCTACGAGGTTCCCGGCGGTGACCAGGTTGACGGTTCACCGCCGGCGCCAGCGTAAGACGTATGTGGTGACCGGTGCGGAGTAATACCTCGTAGAGCTCTTCGGCATTGATGAGCTAGAGGAATTCGGACGCGGGGTGAAGCTAGTTGGCCAACCCGGCCCGGGCGGACAATGTGGTAACCTGGGGTCGGTTTTTCGCAGATGGTGAGAGATTTTGAAATTCGTTTTGCGAATTCGAATTTTTATTCTATGAATCATGGCGCTTTCGATGGTGTAATTCTCAGGGCCCTAGCTACATAATTTAGATTAAAAGACTACGGGGAACCACCATTGTGTACGACCGAAAAATAATTCTTTATGTTTCAAGCTTGTATGCAGAAATTTTTTTCTCCTGTTATCTCCGAACCGACCTGGTCTATGCAGAGCTCTACGAGGGTCCCCGGCGGTAACCTGGTTGACGGTTTACCGCCGGTTCCCGTCCCTCGAGTCGGGCCTATTGATTCGTCACGTTAATTGTGACGCGACTTGTAAGTAACCCGTGCCAATGGACGCATCAAGAAGCATGAACAATGAATTTGTGTTTCAGGGATCCGTACTGAGGGGATCCTTACAAGGAGCATCCCCACGACGGATTCCTCACTTCAGGGGTCTGTGTTCAGGGCCCCTTGTCGAAGGCATCTTTACTGACGAATGCTTACCAAAGGCACCTGCACTAGGCACCCCTCACTAAAGGAAGCCTCCTTCAGGATCCGTTGATGCAGACAGCCTTGCACATTCAGCTTGAGGAACCCTGACTAAAAAGACTGGCTCCTACGGGCCCTGTTACAGACATCCGTATTTTGCGGAGTTCTAGCAATGGCCTCAGCGGAGGCGTTCGCATGGCGTTCCATCGGGTTTCGGTGGCTGGGCTTTGCGTGAATGGGAAACGGGAAGAAGGGAGAGAGAGAGAGAGAGAGAGAGAGAGAGAGAGAACGAGAGAGAGAGAGAGAGAACACAAACTCGTTCTTCTGTCACGACTCGTCTCTTGGCAATGGGCTGGAACTCCAAGGACCATGCTCGGGGGGTCATATGTTTTCCGTTCATGGACTGTCCTCCAAGATATCCTCAAACTGTCAAGGTACCCTCCTGCAAGATCCCCTCATTTGTCTCACGATGCCGGAGGAAGGGGACGAAGGAGGATGAGGAGGAAGACGATGAGAAGCAGTATGAGGCGTGAGACCGCCCAAGTTTCGCGTGGCAGAACGCTTACTCCACAATCCCCTGGCCTCTATTTTGGAGGCCTTTGCGGCTCTCGCGGGGCCCTCTTGGAGTTCTCTTGGTGCCCTCTCGTCAGCCTGTGGGGCCTTCCTCTTGAGAACACGCGGCCCGCTGGGTCAACAGCATCAGGGTTTGTTGCTCGAGTGTGGCCCGCTCAGCACACAGGCATGCTGAATGACAAATTCAGCCATCTGACATTCCATCTGTGGTCTCAACGCCGAGGCAATGGCTTCGATAGCGTCGGCGACCTCGCTCTCGGCAGTTGCCGTCTTGTGTGTCCTCAGGGTTGCCGGGGCTGACTCGCCTATTTACCTCCGCCGTCTGACTGGCCAACCCGAAGGGGAACGCTCGTGGATGCTTGCACTTGAGAGCGATGCTACGGACGAGGAGGTGCGGCTCCTTGGTCGGGAATTGCAGGATGGGCAGCACACCGATCGAGACAAAGGTGAGCTGCTCTATGTGTGGGGGCGCACGACGATGATCGGCCTCCGGGCGCTGCTGGAGAAGATCCCGGGGCGAGTGAGGTTTGCCGAGGAGGACCTTCTTGAGAGGAAGGCCTTGGAGCCCACCCACGCCATGGACAGGCGAGTGCCTTTTTTATTCTCTGGGCCATAGCGCCCTTCACGCCCCCCCCCCCTTCCCCCCTCCCCCTCCCCGTTCCATTAACGCAAAGCTTCTCCCCCCCAGTGCGTCCCCGGCACTGCCGCAATGCGTCATGCACCAGCGGGGGTGTTACGTTACAGTATGCCCTCTCCCCGCCCTCCCCCTCCTCCCCTATAGCGCCCGTGATCGCCGCGAGTGAAAAAATGCTCTCCAGGCGAATGTTGCAGCGGACCTACCCGTGGGGGATCCAGGACATCAGCGCGGATGTGGTCCGGGGGCGGGGCGCGGGGGTGAACGTGTATGTTCTGGACACTGGTATCCGCACAACCCACGAGCAGTTCGGCGGCCGGGCCTTCGCGGGAGTGGACGTGGCCAGCACGGGAAGTCTAACGTACTGCCTCCCAGACAGCACGACGTGCTCTGCAGACGACCATGGGCACGGAACCGCAAGCGCCGGCGTGGTGGGGGCCTCGACATATGGCGTCGCGGATGGAGCGACCCTCTGGTCGATGAAGGTACTCGATGCCAATGCTGACGGCTACACCGCTTGGTCCGTCGCTGCAGAGCAGTGGGTTTTGACGAATGGTCTCAGGCCAGCGGTGGTCAACGTGGGTTTCTCAGGGGCTGGCCAATCGCCATCGGAGAAGGAATCAATCGATGCATTAGTTTCCGATGGCGTGACCGTGGTGGTGGCTGCGGGGAATGAAAACGGAGATGCGTGCGGGTTTAATCCGGCATTCATCTCGTCGGCGATTACTGTCGCGTCTTATGGTGGAGTTAGTGGTTCGTCACCAGCCAGATCCACGTACAGTAATTACGGGTCTTGCGTCGACGTTTGGGCTCCAGGCTCGTCGATCCCCTCGACTGCGCACTCCAGCGACACTGCGGTGGATACTGGTTTCGGCACAGCGTATTCCTGCGCACACGTCACTGGGCTTGTGGCCATTATGTACGAGGCGAATCCAACGGCGGGTGGCATGACCGCTTCCCAGAGGTGGAATCTTTTGACAGCCTCCAGACGCTTGCACTACGTCACTGGACTCCCCAGTACACCATTCACTCCGAATGTGGTGCCTTTGGCACCTACGCCGGGGCAGCCGCCAGTCTGTGTCGACACCGACGACGGGGCCACTGGTTCAAATAGCTTTTCCTGCAACGATTGGTTGGATTATTCACTGTACTGCCATAATAGTCAGTACTACGACGATATCGACTTCACTGCTTTATCCATGTGCTGCGCTTGCTTTGGTGGAGACTTTCCAGCTGCCTGCGGTAATTCCCCTACCCCTGTACCAGCACGTCATTCTGGACGGCGACTCTTCGAAGGGGTACGGGAGCCTGTCACGTGTGGGCTCTTCGTGTCTCCGGGCTTGGGCATGTCATGATGCTGCTGTTGATGGTGTTGATGGTGATGATGATGATGCTGCTGCTGATGATGATGGTGATGATGGCGATGACGATGCTGATGATGCCGATGCTGTTGATGACGATGCCAATGTCGATGTCGATGGCGATGACGACGATGCCAATAATGATGTCGATGACGATGACGATGATTGTGCTGATGATGACAATGACAATGACGATGCTGATGACGATGACGACGACGACGACGGCGATGGTGATGATGCTGATGATGGTGAGGATACTGATGCTGCTGATGATGATGAGGATGATGATGACGATGATGATGAGGATGATGATGACCATGATGATGCTGATGATGCTAATGATGATGATGATGATGATGATGATGATGTTGATGATGATGATGATACTGATGATGATTGATGATACTGATGGTGAGGATGCGGATTATGCTGATGATGATTATGATGATGATGATGCTGACGATTATGATGATGATGCTGATTATGAGGATGCTGCTGCTGATGATGATGATGATGATTGTGGTGGTGGTGATGATGGTGATGATGCTGATGCTCATGATGATGAGGAGGATGAGGATGAGGAGGAGGACGAGGAAGAGGGCGCTGCTGCTGCTGATGATGACGATGACGATGACGATTGTGATGGTGTTGCTGATGATGGTGGTGGTTGTGATGATGATAATAATGATGATGGTGATGATGTCGAGAATGATGAGGAGGAGGAGGAGGAGTAGAAAGAGGAGGAGGAGGAGGAGGAGGACGCTGCTGCTGCTGATGATGATGACGATGACGATGACGATGACGATGACGATGACGATGACGATGACGATGGTGGTGGTGGTGGTGATGCTGATGATGGTGGTGGTGATGATGCTAATAATGATGATGGCGATGATGTGGAGGATTAGGAGGAGGAGGAGTAGAAGCAGGAGGAGGAGGATAAGGATGAGGAGGAGGAGGATGAGGAGGAAGATGAAGGCCATCACGTGTGACTCCTGGCGTCTTCACTATTCGAAGAGCTCTCATGGAGTTCGTTTGGGCCGTCTTGGGGCTGTCTTGGCCTCCTGTGGGGCTGTCTTGGGGCGCCTGGTGAGCCCTCTTTGGCCGTCTTGGGACCCTTTCAGGCCGTCTTCGGGCTCGCTGGGGGCTGTCGAGGGGCCGCCTTGGCGCCGTCATCGGCAGTCGAATGGCTTCCTAAGGCAGTCTTTGGGTCCCACGGGAGGCCCTCTTGGGCCGTCTTGGGACCGTCTTGGATGCTTTCTTGGACACTCGTGGGGTCCTCTTGGGCCGTGGAGCCTCGTGGGGGCATCTTGGGTCGTCTTGGGGCCATCGTGAATGCTTCATAGGCCGTCTCGCACTTTCGGGAGCTCGAAAAAGCTAGACCGCCAAAGTCATACAACAACCAAAGAAAAACCATTCATTTTGTCTTCTCCGGGCCCTGTTGGAGGTCCTCTTGTGGCCCTTTTGGGATCTACTGGGGCCATCTTGGGCCGTCTTAAGGCCATCTTCGGCCGCCTTGGGGCCATCTTGGCTTGTCTTCGAGGCATCTTGGGCTATCGCAGTGTCCTCGGTTGCCTGCATGGGCCGTCTTGGATGCTCGGGACGCAGACACATCGCTTTGTCCGAGGGATCACGGCCTTGGGAGCGCGGTCTATCATGAGGGATCGCGGCCTCGGGGGCGGGTTCGCTACAAGAGGGGGGAGTTCCCTTATTCGAATACAGAACCTTGCAGAGCAGCGCTTGGTATGGCGATGTATGACGGGAAGAGCGCTAGCAAGAGAAGTTCTGCATAGGGATTTAGCCTCAGTGTGGGGTCGGGGGGGGGGCGGAACTAGCCGAAATGACGGAACGAGCGCTAGCGAGAGAAGTTCTGCATAGTGCTTTAGCCCCAATGGGGGGGGGTGTTTGGGGGGGGGGGGGGGGGGCGGCTCTGGACCGGGCCTTTTTTCTAACGCGCCCTCTGGGGGGCCATGTTGGCTGCTTCTTCGGCCCAGGACGGTCCAAGAGACCCCCAACAGGCTCCCAAGACGGCTTAGATGTCGCCCAGACGGCCCAAGAGACGCCCAACAGGCCCCAAGACAGCCCAAGAGTGCTCCAAAAGGGGCGAAGATGGTCCCAAGACGGTCCAAGAGGCCCCCCCCAGACGGACCAAGAGGCTCCCACGAGGACTTTCAAGAGGGACGCCGGAGGCAAAAACCATCGATTTCCATGATTTTTGGGGGTTCTCGCTTTTTCGGCGGCCCTGAGGACCTCCGAGGTCGTTCAGAAAACATCCCTAGAGGCTCCCAAACGGTCCACGGGCGCCTCAGGACGGCCCAGGAGAGCCCCAAGACAAGCCAAGGAGGGCCCGACAGAGGCCCAAGAGCCTCCCAGGAGAGCCCCAAGGGAGCCACACGAGGCTCACACGAGGGCCCCGAGACCGCCCCAAGCTGGCCCAAGCCCCCCAAGACGGTCCAAGAGGGCCAAGGAGGGCTCCACAGAGGCCCAAGAGCCTCCCAGGAGAGCTTCAAGGGAGTCTCAGGAGGCTGAGTGCCCCCAGAGCGCTCCAAGCCGGACCAAGCTCCCCGAGACGGTCCAAGAGGTCCCCAGAAGGCCCCCAAACGGCCGAAAAGACTTCCAATAGGCCTCCAAGAGGCACTCCGAGATGCCTCCAAGAGCCTCTTACGAGGCCCCACCATTTCGAACCGTGCCGTCAAACACTCTGACCGCCAAGGCTCCTCGGAGCGGACGGTGACATAACAACTCCGATCACCACGGCGGCCGTCCTACCGTGGCTCGCACTCCAAAAAGCATGCATGGCAATCCCTATATCCAAATCACTGCCGCGTAAACGACCGCCGAATCCCCGAGACCGTGTGAAATATCCGCTCCACGGACCCGCTCTTTCCGTTCCCGTGCCGGCCCAGGTTTTTAACACGCCCTCCGGGGAGTCATGTTGGCGGCGTTTTCGGCCAAGGAGGCCTCGAAGCGGCCCAGATGGCCTCCCAGACGGTCAAAGATGCAATTAGATGCACCCGAGACGGCCTCAGAGAGACCCGAAAAAACCCGAAAATGGTCCAAGAGCGCTGCTAGATGGCTCCTGATGGCCGCACTACTGCCCAAGAGGTCCCCAAGACGCCCCAAGAGGCCCCCAAGAGGACTCCCCAGAGGCACAGAAGAGGCAACATACATACGTTTTCTAGAGGTTTTTGAAGGGCTTGAGTGATTCCGCTTTTCGAGTCAAGAACGGCCGTTGGCGTTCCTGGGCGCTTCCGAGATCGTGCCAAAGACGTCCCAAGAGGCCCCTAAGAGGGCTTCAAGACGGCCCACTAGGGCCTGAAGGCGACCCAAGGGAGCCCCAATACGGCCCGATGTGGGCCTGAAGGAGGGCCCCAAGGGGGCCAGAGGAGGGTCCCACGAGGGTCCCGCGAGCGCCCCAAGCGGCCGAAGCCCCCCGAGACGGTAAAAGAGGGCCCAGGGACAGCCCAAGAGGGTCCCGAAACAGCCCGAAAGACTCCCAGCATGCCCCCAGGAGGCTCCCACGATGCGTGCAAGAGCCTTTGAAGATGACCCTCAGGAGCGAACAGCGACGTAGAAACCGCTGCAAGCCGGCCGAACCACCCCAAGACGGTCCAAGAGGGCTCCGGGACGGCCCAAGAGGGCCTCATAACGGCCCCAACAGATCCCCAACATGCCCCCAAGAGGCCGAAAGTTCTGAACGCCAATGCTCGCAAGAGCAGACGGTAGCGTAAACAGCTCTTAACGCCAATGCTCCCAAGAGCGAACGGTTATTGAACAACTCTTAACTCCAAGGCTCCCAAGATTGAGCGGTGACGTAAAAAGCTCTTAACGTCAAAGTCCTTCACACCAATCCCTGGAAGAGCATACGGTGACGTGAAACAGCTCTTAACGCTAAGACTGCCAACAGCGAACGGTGCCATGAGCCCTCTCGGGCGAGTTCCGGAAGCACTCTTTCCGTCGTTGCGTTCCCGTCCCAGCTCAGTTTACAACGCGCCTCAACTTGCCAGGAGGCACGGTGGCGGATGATCAAACTCCTGCTTCAGCTGCAACCCCCCTACCCACTCCAGCGTCAACCCCCGTACCCACGCTAGCGCCAACCCCCGTACCCACGGTGTCGACGCTGGCGCCAACTGCCGTACCCACACCAGCGCCAACCTCGGCTTTTGCAAGCGACCTCAACCAGTGGCTGAGCAACTCCTGGTATTCAGTCTCTGGCGCGAGGATTACAAGACTGAGTGTAGATTCATTGATTTGGAAGACCCTTGCGTTTGGCCCATGGATAAGGTCAGGCACTTACACGGCGGAGTTCCAATACGTCGCATCTACCGCCGGCTGCGGTCAAGCGCCTGGTTGTAGTGTAGCATTCGGTGTCGTCTTCTCGAACTACGATTTGACACAGACAGGGTGCCACCACAGCAGCGTGTCGGGCTACAGCTGTCAAAGTGGCCGAGGTGTAGAGTTTCTCGGCAATAAGTGGGGCCAGGACACCTGGTCGGCTTGCTCGAACGACGGCATTCAAGTTGGTGATGTGGTCCGTGTGCAGGTCGACATGGCTCTCGCAGAGATGACCGTTGCCGTGAACGGCGCGAGCTGCCCGCCCTTCACGGGGCTCCCAGGCCAGGTTCGCCTGGCAGTATCCACGGAGAGGCAAGGCGACATTGTCGACGTCCTGTCTTTTTCCGCGCCTGCGCCAGCGCCGACCCAGGAGCTTCCTCCCGCTGGCTGGCTTGCCGAGCAAGGCGACGACCTGGCGTCGGCGACAGCATTGCGGTGGTCGCGTTCGCGGACGACGGGACTTGGGCTGAGCGCCCTGCTCACTTCCCTGCCGCCTGTTTGGATGGCAATCTGAGCACGGGTCGCGCTCACGGTCCAAGGCCACAAGGATCGGCAAAGTCAGCTCGTTGGCAGCATGCTGTCGTTTTCAGCTTCTGCGCCCGCGAGCGGCGAGAGCTCCCCTGGTGGCCGAGTTCCACGAGCGTGCGTTTGCGCGCCAGCTGTGCATGTGCAAATGTCTGGCCTGCGCCCGTCACTGTACATCTCCGCTGGGCACGAACCCCTCGAACAAAATACGCAGGGGACTTCGAGGGGTCCTGACGACAATCCATTAGGTACCCGCGGCACGGTGACGGATGACGGACAGCGCCCTCTGCGTGGACCGTGTTTTTTTTTTTTTTGAGGCGTAGTGTTTGTTCAACTAATGAGGCCCCGACTCCGTGATTGTGATTCCATCCTGGAACTCGCTGGCGAATGAAACGTCTTCGGGGAAAGGGAAGCGTGGACCGTCTATTAAAGCCGAACTTTAGCATTCTTGCAACGAGGTCGAAAACTAGATGGTGGCGGGGCGCAACTGACAGAGGGTTGGCGGATGAGGGGAAGCGTCCTCTCGGAAAGAGATGGTGCTAGGAGTTTTGTAGAGTAAGCTGTAGTTCCCGGAACAGTGCTTGCACTTCAGGGGCTCTTACGTGTCAGAGCAACCTGGTGGCTGCGTCGAGGATTCGCTACGTTTTTTGGCCCGTTGCCGCCCGTTGCCACCCGTTGCCGCGTGTGCGGGTGCGTAGAGAGGACTCGCCTCTTTTCCCGCCTGTTGCAGCCCGTTGCCGCTCAATCCAGGAGAGCCCAAAACAGGGCCCCAACGTGGCCCGAAGAGAGCCCCATGACAGCCTCCTGAAACACTCCGAATAGTAGCCCTGTCATTGAGGGAGACTGGTTCGCAGCAAGGTGGCCCGAGGAAGCCACCATGGGCTATCAAAAGACGACCGGGAGGCCTTCACTCGTGGGTCCGTTTGAGGCCGTCATGGGGGCCTCCGTCGTGGGGCCCTCGCAGTCTTGGGCCCGTCTGGGCCGTCTTGGGGTCCCGTCGGGCTGTCTTGGGGCCCTCTTGCGCTGTCTGGAGCTCCTCCAGGGCCCTCCTTGGTCGTCTTGGAACCCTGTTGGGCTGTCTTGGGCCCGTCTTGGGCCCTCGGTGGGGTGATCTTGGGGGCCTCCTGGGTCGCCTTGGGTGATCGTGGGGGCCTCCTGAGCCGTCCCAGGCGCTCCGGAGACGGAAGAGGCGAGCATGGCAACATCGCGCCGAAGCCTTGGCGCAGCTCACGATGTTGCCCTCTGGGGGTCCCCCATGGGGGGTTCTCCCGGGCCCCCCCCCGGGCCGTCCCGGGCGCCCGCTTCGGGGCGCGCGCGCCCTGGCCGTCTCGGAAGGCTCTTCGGGCCCCTGCTGTGGCCTGCTGGGGCCGTTTATTGGGGCCGTTTTGGGTTCCTCCGGGGCGCTCGGGGCGCAGCTTTCGCGATCCCGAACGAAGTTTTCCTGGGCCATTTTTCTACGTATGGTTGAGCCGATTCTATTCGTGCGGCTCCGTGTGACTGGCTCGGGGTCGCTCCTCCGCCGCGACGTGGTGGAGGACCGGGAGAAGCGGTGGTACTCGAAGGGTCGCACGATGGACGTTGGTGCTAAGTCGGAGGGAAGTCATTTGTGATAGGGGAGGGGTCTGGGAAGGGGAATGGCTGCTCGGTTTTGCTCTCCACTCGGACTTGGCGGATGACTGGAAGCACGCTTGGACTCTAAGAGACGCGTGATGGACGTTGCTGCGGTTCTGGAATTTTTGTTGTTGTTGTTGTTGTTGCTGCTGCTGCTGCTGTTGTTGTTGTTGTTGTTGTTGTTGTTGTTGTTGTTGTTGTTGTTGTTGTTGTTGATGTTGATGTTGTTGTTGTTGAACATTATTTATTCTAAAGAATAATTATTGTTGGGCCCCCTGGTGCGCGCCCCCCCTGCGCCGCCTAGGCCGCAGCTACATTTTCATCATTTTCGTGAGGAAGCCTCAGAAAAGAGGGTGTGTACAGGATCCGGTTGTTTTGTTGTAATCCGCTTTCCCTTGCAAAAAACAATAGAAAATGACATTTCTTGTTCTAATATAATCAAATTTCAAGAATCCCTTGCAAAAAATAAGGTAAAGTGGACATTCGCGCGCGCAAGACGAAATCCTTCCAAAACCTTAGTGTTCGCAGCGATTTTAACATAAAAACATCAAAAAACCAATGGTTTTTCAACAAAAAATTGTCAAAATCTCATCCCGCGCGCTCTTGCGGATTCGTAGGAAACCCAACACTTTTTAAACATTTCTGTCAAACGGGCTTTTGCGAGCAACTTTTTCGAACTTCTGCGACAACGGTTGCGCACCTGCCAGGGCCATCATCCCTGTCAAATAATACCATGCGGGACAACCACAACCATCAGGACAACCATCGGGACAACCATCGAGACAACCATCGGGACAACCATATCCTCTCTCTCTTGTGTATTCCCACATCCCTCAGGAATTTGCCCTAAAGATGTGATCAACTATCTTGTGAGTACGTATCATGTGTATCATGTGTATCATGTACCATATGCATCATATGCAACAGATGTTCTGTGGAAGGCTTAACAACTTCTGTGGGTTAACAAGGCTTAACAACTTCTGTGGGTGTACGAACGTAGGCTTAACAACTTCTGTGGGTGTGTACTCCACGCCAGTGTAGTAGCCACGGTCGTCCGCAGGCCACGAAGTGAAGTGTCCGAACGTCATAGGGCGGGAAGCTGGGTGTGGGTGGTGGCGAAGAGTCGTGTGGATATTTGGTAGAGCTTGCACTGCCCCCCCACAAAGTGGGGGTATTGGCTGGCGTCGCATGAAAACCTTGGCACTGGTGAGAACACTGAGCGTTCGGGTAAAGTGATTGTTGTTGTTGTTGTTGTTGTTGTTGTTGTTGTTGTTGTTGAACTCTCATTCTTGAAGAATATATTTATTGTTGATCCCCCCACCGGTGCACATTGATTTTTTTCGATTGAAGTGCCACCCCCTGGGCTCGCACTTTGTTTTTTCTCAAGGAAAGTCTTCCTGCTCAAACTGTGCCCCTGCCCCCCGGGCTACAACAACAACGGCTCCCGCCTGAGACTTCTTCGATTTTTATTCAGGACCCCCGCTCCCGCCTGAGACTTCCGCGCGATTTACTCAGGAAAGGCGCTCCCGTCTGAGACTTCCTCGCAATGTAATCAAGACCCCCGCTCCCGCCTGAGACTTCCGTGCAATTTACGTGGGAACGGCGCTCCCGCGTGAGACTTCTTCGAATTTTACTCAGGACCCCCGCTCCTGCCTGACATTTCCGCGCAATTGACTCAGGAACGGCGCTCCCGCCTGAGACTTCCTCGCAATTTAGTGAGGACCCCCGCTCCCGCCTGAGACTTCCGTGCAATTTGCTCAGGAACGGCGCTCCCGCTTGAGACTTCCTCGCAACTTAGTCAGGGCCCCCGCTTCCGCCTGAGATTTCCTCACAATGTACTCAGGACTGCGCTCTCGCGTGCGACGTCCTCACAAATTATTCTGGAATTGCGTTTCGGCGCTCAGGAACCACGCGCGCGCCAAGGACGCCTTCACAACGTGGTATCTTCCCTCTTCCTTCGTCCTTCCCCCTCCCCTTCCTCCCACTCTCCCTCGTTCTTCCCCTCCTCCTCTTGCAGGGCCCGCGCCAATTCCAATGGCGGGCAGAGAGATGTACGCCCCCGAAGGATTGTCCGCCCGTTCCGGTTTGCCCGTACGTCTAAGCCCGCCGGCCCCAGCAAAGAGAAATAATCCCCCCGAAAGGGGTGTGATCGAAGACGAAGAGGGCGGGTATCGAGGGTGTAGGGTATACGTGTTGAATGACTCGCGGGCAAATAAGAGCGTACAGCCTTAAAATGGTTGTTGTTGTTGTTGTTGCTGCTGCTGCTGCTGTTGTTGTTGATATTGTTGTTGTTGTTGTTGTTGTTGTTGTTGTTGTTGTTGTTGTTGTTGTTGTTGTTGTTGTTGCTTGCTTGCTTGTTGTTGTTGTTGATGTTGTTGTTGTTGTTGTTGTTGTTGTTGTTGTTGTTGTTGTTGTTGTTGTTGTTGTTGTTGTTGTTGTTGTTGTTGTTGTTGTTGTTGTTGTTGTGCTGCTGCCGTTGTTGTTGTTGTTGTTGTTGTTGTTGTTGATATTGTTGATATTGTTGTTGTTGTTGCTGTTGTTGTTGTTGTTGTTGCTGTTGTTGTTGTTGTCGTTGTTGTTGTTGTTGTTGTTGTTGCTGGTGTTGTTGTTGTTGTTGTTGCTGCTGCTGCTGCTGCTGTTGTGGTTGTTGTTGTTGTTGGTGTTGTTGTTGTTATTGTTGTTGTTGTTGTTGAACTCTCATTCTTGAACAATAATTATTGTTGATCCCCCCCCACCGGTGCACATTGATATTTTTCGATTGAAGTGCCACCCCCGGGGCTCGCACTTTGTTTTTTCTCAAGGAAAATCTTCCTGCTCAAACTGTGCCCCTGCCCCCCGGGCTACAACAACAACGGCTCCCGTCTGAGACTTCCTCGATTTTTACTCAGGACCCCCGCTCCCGCCTGAGACTTCCGCGCAATTTACTCAGGAAAGGCGCTCCCATCTGAGACTTCCGCGCAATGTAATCAAGACCCCCGCTCCCGCCTGAGACTTCCGTGCAATTTACGTGGGAACGGCGCTCCCGCCTGAGACTTCTTCGCAATTTAGTGAGGGCCCCCGCTCCCGCCTGAGGCTTCCGTGCAATTTGCTCAGGAACGGCGCTCCCGCTTGAGACTTCCTCGCAACTTATTCAGGGCCCCCGCTTCCGCCCGAGATTTCTTCACAATGTACTCAGGACTGCGCTCTCGCGTGCGACGTCCTCACAAATTATTCTGGAATTGCGTTTCGGCGCTCAGGAACCACGCGCGCGCCAAGGACGCCTTCACAACGTGGTATCTTCCCTCTTCCTTCGTCCTTCCCCCTCCCCTTCCTCCCACTCTCCCTCGTTCTTCCCCTCCTCCTCTTGCAGGGCCCGCGCCAATTCCAATGGCGGGCAGAGAGATGTACGCCCCCGAAGGATTGTCCGCCCGTTCCGGTTTGCCCGTACGTCTAAGCCCGCCGGCCCCAGCAAAGAGAAATAATCCCCCCGAAAGGGGTGTGATCGAAGACGAAGAGGGCGGGTATCGAGGGTGTAGGGTATACGTGTTGAATGACTCGCGGGCAAGTAAGAGCGTACAGCCTTAAAATGGTTGTTGTTGTTGTTGCTGCTGCTGTTGTTGTTGATATTGTTGTTGTTTGTTGTTGTTGTTGTTGTTGTTGTTGTTGTTGTGTGTTGTTGTTGTTGTTGTTGTTGTTGTTGTTGTTGTTGTTGTTGTTGTTGTTGTTGTTGTTGTTGTTGTTGTTGTTGTTGTTGTTGTTGTTGTTGTTGTTGTTGTGCTGCTGCTGCTGTTGTTGTTG